ATCGGCCGATTCTCTTCACAAAAATCGATTTTTGCGAGCAAACAACAAGACGATGATGATGATAACGGTGATATGGGCGGTGGAGATGCAGGTGGATGGATAAATTTTTGAATTTTTTTGTTTTTCAAATTTGGCGCCAAAATTCAAATTTTCAGACAAATTTCGATGACGTGGGTCTCTTCGTCGTGGTATTTTCAGCAAACTTTTTTGGGTCAATTTTCTGATTAAAATTTGATTTTTCACGGGAAAAAAACGCTAAAATTTTGGGTTTTCAGCTGAAAAATCGTCAAAAACCGCAACCAATTTTTGGTTCGAGATTATAGATTTTCAATGATTTTTAGCCAAATTTTCAGCCAATTTTTTAGACTGGAAAATCTCAATTTTCAGCGATTTTTGATCTTGAAATTAGTCAGAAAAATAGCAATTTTCAGCCAATTTTGACTGAAAATTCGTAAAAAATCACAGTTTTTTAGCTGAAATTTGTTTAAAAAAGTTTTAGTTTTCAGCAATTACAGCCATTTCTAGACCCATTTTGGACGTTTTGAAGGCACTTTTGGCCTTATTTTAGCTCGAATTTCAACTTTTCAAGGCAATTTTGATCATTTTAGCTGATTATTTGAGATTTTCAGCGACTTTTGGTGATTTTTGGGCTGAAAACGCTAGATTTTAAGTTTTTTTCAAAGGCTAAAAAACGTCGAATATCGAGATTTTTTTGAATTTTTAAAGCAATTTTTGAACCAAAACGCTAAAAAACGCACGACTACATCACAAGTATATCGAACTGAAAAAAAAGCCATAAAAATAGCAAAAAATGGGCCATAAATCTGTTAAAAATCGAAATTTCGAATCGATTCGAAATGGAGAGAATAGAGCTTGAAGCGAGCTTTAAACTGGTGTAAAATTCGCAAAGATTCGAAAAATCGAAAATTCCAAAAACTAAGAAAAATCAAATCTTACCAAATTTCCTACCATTTTGGAGCTCTTTTCAAGCTCTATTTTCTCTATTTTTCATAAATTCGAAATTTCGATATTGAACAGTTATGGCCTGTTTTAGTAAATGAGCTATAAATCAGTCGAAAACCGAAATTTCGAATCGATTCAAAATGGAAGAGATAGAGCTTGAAAAGAGCTTCAAAATGGTAGGAAACTCGACAAGATTTGATTTTTCCTAGTTTTCGGAATTCTGAATTTTTCAAATCTATTGGAAAGGATAGAGCTTGAAAATAGCTTCAAAATGGTATAAAACTTGTATGGATTTGAAAAATCCAAAAATCCAAAAAATGGGAAAATCAAATCCTGTCAAATTCCCTATCATTTTGTAGCACTTTTCAGCCTTATCTCTTCCAGTTTGAATCAAACCAAAAACTTCAAATTCTGAGAACATGTATGGCCTATCAATCATTCCGAAACAAGCGCTACAGTACTCCACCAACATCCACATCCATATATAATTAAAAGTTACCATCATCCTCTCAACTTTCGGGCAGTTCTCCTCTGTCTGAATCTGGCCCCACGCGCCGATTATCCTCACCTGCAGAGTCTGTTGAGTGCTGGCCGTGGCCGTCGTGGCCGAGCTTCTTCCAGAATCTGCAGGTTCCGTTACCGACATTTTCAGTGACGAGCTGCTGTTGCTGCTGAGACGACGACGCAAGATCTTGATCGGTGACTTGAATTTATGCTGAGCAATCGATGATTTCAATGGTGGAGACGACTTGATTGGTGAAGTAGTACGGTATTCAAAGTGCGCGGCGGATTCTTCTGGAAAAATGTGAATTAAGGATGAGCAACCAGCGATTTTAAAGGCGCAGAGCGACATAACTTTTAAGCATCAAAATAGGCCTAAAATGATTCCATTTTAAGCCGAAATCCCCAAATTTAAGGCTGAGCAATGCGAGTTTTCAGTCATTTTTGGGGGCATTTTGGTCCATTTAGAGAGTGATTTTAAGCTCATTTTAAGCCAAAAACCTGGATTTCCAGACCGTTTTGGACCCTTTTCATCCAAAAAAACGCGATTCAGACCATTTTCAGCCGAAGGATTTAGGCCCATTTAGGCCCCTTTTTAGGCTCATTTTCAGCCATTTTAGACCAATTTTTTTGGTTTTTTTTATTCTAGTCCAATTTCAGCCATTTTGGTGTCATTTTCAGCCAATTTTCGGGTCAATTTTCGGATTTTCAGCCCAAAAACTGCTTTGTTAGAGCAATTCTGAACATTCTGAGTCCATTTTCAAGGCATTTCTAGCTATTGCGATAAAAACGAGATCATTCTAGGTCAATTTCAGCCAATTTTCAGTCAATTTTCAGCCAAAATCACATAAGACAGTGTCTGAAGGTTCTGGGTCCATTTTCAGATCATTTTCAGCCAAATTTTAGTGATTTTCAGCGGATTTTAAGCCAATATTCAAGCCATTTTTGCGATAATTTTCAGCCGAAAAAGTCCGTTTTCTTCGAGCAGTTAAAGCTGAGCAATCTGCGTTTTTAGGCCATTTTTGGACAATTTAAAGCCGATTTTTCGCAATTTTAGCCAAAATCTAGCTTAAAATTGTCATTTTCAAGCCAAATCCGCGATTTTTGGGACATTTTTGAGCGATTTTCAGCCATTTTTTGAATCAATTTCCCCCTGAAAGCGGAATAAAACAATTAACGCTGAGCAATCGATTTGACACCATTTTCTCGTCAATTTTTCCGTACTTTTCGTATCTGCCAATCAAATTTCGATAATTTGATAATGATAATAAAAAAAAAAGAAATAGGTGATAAAATGTGCCAAAAAATTGATACACGAAAAAAAAATCACCTGATTTTCAGGGACAAAAAATCGGCTAGAGAAATCGTCTGAAAATGGCAAAAAATGGATGAAAATGAGAATAAAACAACCCTAAAAACCCTTCAAAGTGTCAAATTGATTGCTCAGCGTTAATCGTTTTTTTTCCCGCTTTCCGGGAGAAGGGGATCCTCTAGAGTAGACCTGCAGGCATGCA